TATTCTTATTTCTAACTATTCTTGAGTTGGAATACAAGCTCTGTTAGATGTAGTGACTCTGCTGTAAATGACAAAACACATTCCTGAAGGAATGCTTCTACAATCCCCATTTCATTTCAGTTTCTTGAAGATCACCTGCCTGTTTCCCTCTCAGTTCTGTCTTAGCTGCTCCTCGCTGCGTTCCCTGTGTGTTTTTCCAATAAGCAGTCCTGCACAGACAGGACCAGCAGTTATCACCACAAAACAACAGACCTTACTAGCAGTAACTACCAAACCGTGCAATATTTCTCATATTTAAAATTTGCATTTGTATTTCTTACAGAAGAATGCAGCACGGTTTACACCATGCTGCACCAAATGAGAACTGTCCATGAAGAGCAGTAACATGGAGGAAATAAATTCTGACCATTTTTTTAAATTTATAAAATATTCATTTGTATCCTTAATAGGCATTGCTATTTTGACAGCAGTAAACATAAAAGCAAAGGATGACTGACTTCATTTCTCATTCAAAAGCTAAGCAAGCCAAGGAAAACCAAGATGTTTTTTCAAAACAGAAAGGGAAAAAATAAATAAATTTAAAAAAAAAAATCAAGATTGCCCTGTGAAGGCCTTTGAACTACAGCTTTGTAATTGCACTCGTTAGAACCAAGGTTGGGATAAGACAGTTTGTCATTCTGGCACCACATCAAATTTTCTCCCAACCACTTCAGTGTCAGTTGCTTGCACACAAGGTTTCATCTCTGCAACAACTGAAAAAGCCCCAACCCTGCAAAGATGATGAAATAAGTGTTGCGGCAGCACAAAATACAACCACTGATCTGCATCTTCAAAGAGACACACCTGACTCCTCTCTGTAGCAGTGCCTCCCTGGGACTGAGTTCGGGCTAATAAGCCCAGCAGAACTAATTAGTTTGTTCTGTGCTCAGTTCTGGGCCTCATCTTTGAGGCTGCTCTAGGCTGAAAAACTCTATTCAGAACTGCACACACACAAAATATACTACCAGAGTGCCAGTGGATGTTAAAAAAAAAAAAAAAAGAAAAGAAAAAAAATCAATGCTTGAAGGCTGTTGGAAGATTTTATTTATTTTTTTCCTACACACAGACATAAATAGTCCGCTCTACTGGCTGATTATGCAATGATTTACATCTGTAATGACTCAGATTTCTCTCATTATACAAATTCTCATCCAAAAGACACTGTCAAATTCCAGTATTCTCAGCTATTTGCCCTCACTTCTCCCCCTCCCTAAGTCATCTCTGTTCTCAGCCCTGAAAAAGAGGTACTGCAGCATTACGGTGGATCCTCTGCAGCGACAGCAACCGTCAGAAAGTCTGGCAAACCACATGCAAATTCACCAGAACACCAGAGTTGCTACAAACACTTCTGTTAACTGTCCTACCCTGTCCCTACTTGTAGAGGGCCATGTCATCCACACGGTTTGGCTGCAAGACCTTAAGCTCTTACTCTAGATCACGTAAGACTCAAATAATTTATTTTTTTTTTTTAAAAAAAAAAGGATAATCTAGCCAAACACAAAATTATAGCAAACATTCAGTTATTAGTTAACTCTGAAAACAAACATTTCAAAGCAGCAGCTCATCAGTTAAGCAGGAATCTCTGCTGCGGTGTTGCCCTTCATTCCCCTATGCCACTTGCAAGTCCCCTTGCAGAACTGGCTCCCTTTGAGCCGTGAAGCACAAAGGAAATGGAAATTTCCACTGACAGGTTGCCCAGCTTTTGCATTTTTGCATAATACTGATAGCGCCGCACAACACAGACAAGTGACTGTTCTTTCATCTCACTGTAACAGACCTGCCTCTTTCCAACACACCCAAGCAAGGTGCTTTTCTGGCCTCACCATCTCCATGTTTCTTTCACATTTACCTCAGGGAAATGAAGAAACGGTTGGCAAGCCTCTAATGAGGATCAAAACAAAGCTCTTCTCCCCAAATGACTAAAAATATATATTAAAAAATATTTGCCTATCTGTTAGATGCTAGTTTATACTGATCCGCATTTTCATTCCAGCCAGGGATTGTGGACATCAGACGACAACCACAGCGCATTGGAAAGAAGTCTAATTTTAATAAAGTACTAAAGGAAGCAATCCTGTGCTGGACAATAGCAGTTGATGGCCTGGTACTTTCTAATATGTAGAATCATGTGAAAGCAAATGGTTTTCCTCAGAAATTTGTGTGAGTACTGTGTTTGAAGAAAAACATCTTCCTAAATTTAAGACCGAAATTCTTTCAAGCACTGTAACAGCCTCTTCTCACATAGCTTCTAAAAGCAAAATCTGAGACTTTTCACAAGGGAAACAGTCATTATAAAGTCATATATATGGTTTTGAAGCATGTATATTAATGAATTTGTACAAAAGCAGGAGTGACTTCCAACTAAAACATTCAGGAGTGTGAAAGTGTGCTGTTCAGAAAGCAACTCCTGTGATAACTGTGTCATATACAGAGATCACAAAATTATCAGAATAACCATCAAAACACAGGACAGTACTAAATATTGGAAGAGGCAAATAATGGATGAATATATATCTAAATAGTAAAGAATAAAATGCCAAAATAAGCCAAAAAACCATCCTGCCGCAACTCTACATCCTTAAATTTCCTACTAACTTTGCCAAAGTAATCTCCCATAGGTGTTTTATCAGCAGCCTTTGATCTCCCACTCTGTACATGCAACATCAGACTACAGCTACCTGAACAATGAAGATAATCCCACACTCCTCTCAGAGTGACAGTCCTGTCAGACTGACAATTGTCAAATCATGAAGCAATAACAGGAGGACGGATGGTTAATGGAAGTCAGAAGCTTCCAGTTCTCACTTCTGTTAGAGATCTTTGGTGTAATGATAGAAGAAGCATTTCATCTTCAGTACATAACTAAAAGAATGAGACCGGTGAGATCATGGCAATTCACTTCTACCTCTGTTGAGCTGGCAATATGAACCAAAGCAAAAGCATTTGCAGTGTATTCCATTTACCCTTCAGGCTGAACTCCTACCATGTCACATTGCTCCATGCTGTTTAGGTACGGGGTTCAGAGTGTGACCATTGCCCTTAACACTAAAATACTCAACTTCTTAAAACAAACAAACAACAAAAAAACCTGAACACCCACACCCACCCACAACTGGTTGGATTTTTAAGCCCTCTTTTCTCTGAAGATCTCTAACAGAGTGCTACGCAGACACAAGTAACGCTGCGCTCAGTCAAAGCAACAGTTCTTGCCACTCGACTACTGTAAGAAGTCAAGAGTGGTTGAAAGGACCTCCCAGTTACACAATGACATCTACTGCATTATGGGGGAGGAGGGGGGTGGGGAAGAAGGCAGAGAGCTGCATTTAGGCTTCTGTACTTATATATGTTCAGCACATTGTCAAAGTGTTCTGGTGGGCAGTAAAAGAGTGCCACAGGGCTCAACAACAGAACAAAAGGTAGAGAAAAGCAGAAGTGCAGGTATGGAAGTCATTAAACTGACTCTTCCGGAGCTCTAACTCCAGCTCAGTCACAGACAGCATGCATACCGCTCTGCAGTCTCTTGATAAAATGTCCTGGTCAAGCTCACTTTGAACATAAGCTGGATCTAGTATTCACTGTGAAACCACTCGCATCACACCAGCAAAACCATCGTGTATTGTATGACACTGATGCACTGTGTAAGCACTTGTCATCATGCTCTTGCACGTCCCACTAGCGTGTTCAGAACTGTGTGGTATAAAAAGATGGTCTTCGACTGCTGTTATCAGCCGTCAGGCTGTTGTGATGCTCACTGAACAACCAAGGTGGCAACAGAACAGAGACTACCCTCTCTCTGCAGCTGCTGCTTCTCAGCTTACCACGAAGATACGTGGTGACAGTATTGGCAGAATGGAGACACAAGGAGCAAAGGCATCACAACCCAGTAACATTCCAGTGGTTCCACTGGTTTCGTTTTGCAAGCCATCTGGATCTCCCCCACCTACAGTTACCAGTCACAGTTCTCAGTCCCTCTAATCTATCCGCCAGATATCCTATCACTCTTAGTAGAAGGTCCTCAATAGATCAAGCATCCCCAGGGTACAAAGGATCTTCTAATTCCACATTGCAGTCTCATTTTAGACAAGTCATTTAGGCTTATAAAGTTACTGCAAATTGCAACATTAACAAATTACATTAAAACCAAACAAAATCACACAGAAACCTCTGGGGCTGGTCTCCAACAGTACTTACAAACTTCCTGTTATGGAATAAAACAGAACATAGGCACATACGTATCTGTACTGCCCAAAGAAGTTGATATAAATACTGTCCTTGAAGCTGACAGGTCTTTTGCTAGAGTGACTTACACGTTGATTTTGCGACCTGTGTTTATGCAACCCAATCTGAAATTTTAACTCATAATACAGCATGGAAATGGAGACTTGTACAAAAGGAATGTGCACAGCCAGCAGTTCTCTTCCTAAAACTCATATTCGAGAACACATTAAGCATTGCCAGTCAATGTTTAATAGTTATGTGTGCAAGCAATTCAGTACACCTGATTTTCACAGAAAGGACATAATTTTTTGCATTACTACATGATGACTGTATTAACCTGTGTAAGAAAATATATGCAGCACGGCTGTCCTAATATAAAAAACAGCTAAAGAGAGAACAACGAGCTACTGTAAATACAGCATCTGTCAAAGTTAAATAACTACAGGCTGCATTTTTATCCACTTCATCCACAAACAGTAATTGCTGGCATTAGCAGGAATTTTTTCCTTCCAAAGGAAATCTACCAGAAGACAATTTTTGTTCTATTTAACGTAGTTTAATCTTGCTACATTTCAAAGCTTATTCTGCTGTTAGTATTCAAAATAAATCTAATGTATACTTTACTCAGCATAAAGACCACTCATACACAATCTTAAACAACAGTAGAAAGTAAAGTTTAAAGATCAAACTTAAAAACAGATTTGCAGCTATTTTTAACAGAGTGAGGATTTGTATGAACTTACAGTAAGATTCCAGTTGATCTGCGGTATTCTCGTGTGAAGATTTAGACTGAACATAAGCAACAGAACTCCAGTAACCACCAATGCACTACAGCTCACAAACTCAAAGAAATAAAGGCCTTCGCAAGGGGAGCATTCCATGATGGTCTCTATGCAGATGAACGCAATCAGTGCCAAAACCTAGGAAGAAAAACAAGTGGAAAAAATATAAATAGATTTCCACATTTTGAAAATAGCCACAAGTATTTCTGAAATTTCCATTGGGAACATGATCAGTTTACACTCAGGAATGTGAGATTTTAGTTTATAACAGGGCACTGTCTAAAGAGCAAAAACAAAGGCAAATTAATGCAAGACTTTCTGGATATCTCCTGTTCAACAAAGTATATTTTAGCAAAATTACAAGGAGTCTAACATGAAAATGACTGAGACACCCAAAAGGCACGAAACCCCTTCAGGCCACCGACTTAATATGCAAACGGCACCTCAAGCATTTTATTTCACTTTTCACTCATGATATGCTATTCCAAAACTTGAAGATGGAATGCATTTGTCTACTGGGCCAACCTCAAGCTCAATTATGTAGTATTAATGTAGTGTAATTGTGAAAGACATTTCAATAAAGCTGTTATTTAAAATTCACTACCAACTTGAGATCTAAATCAATTCAAAATAGAATAGATCCAGGATCTTGACCAGCCTCCAAAAATGCCTGCCTTTGTCATGTTTTTTATCATCAACATGCTGTATTTCATATAAAACCATATTTTATCATTCCCTTACTAGTAAGACAATAAAAACAAGCAGCTAATAGATGAAGAAGAAACTCCTGATGCTGCGAACACATACATCTAACTGGGATGGTGGTTAGTCACACTGATTTCAGAAGGTATCTTGGAAGAGTTAACACAAATGCAGACTTTCCTAAGATGAGAGTTTAATTTACTATTTAGGATAAAGCAGTGAAACTCGTTATACTTAAAAACATCTGCCCAATGGCAAAAATAAAATATATAAAACTCGTACATCCATATTAGCTACCACTGATAGCTACCACTTAGATACCATTACATACCACTGAGTAGCTACCACAGAGTATGCAACTTAAGTCTTCTGTTTCAAACTGATTCCTCTTTTAAATATAACCAGTAGAAGAAAAACAGTCACATGGACAGTTTTGTTTTGTTGGGGTTTTTGGGGGTTTTGTTTGTTTTTTGTTTGTTTGTTTGGGATTTGGGGTTTTTTTTGTTGTTGTTTAATTTTCCATGGCAAGCAAGGAAGGCCTTAAGAGTGTTTTGCTTTGGTTTTCAAGACAACAACCCCCACCACCACCACCCACTTACATTTTTCAGAAGGAATTAACTTTCAAAATTCTAATGAGACCATAGTAAGTCACTTCAATTTGAGGATGAGTAACTCGGGGAGATAGCCTCCTCAGAGCTAACTATTCCATCATTTGAAGATTTTGCACAAACACAACCTAAGTTTAAAAGATTGAGAGAAGCCACAATACAAATCACTTTCCGCTAAACCCTTCTTTGCCAACTTCAATAATGTTTTGCAGATAAACCTTCTTCCAGCACTTTTTATGCTTCATCCATTAATCTGTCTTTGCATTCTACAGCAAAACTAGCAAAATGAAGAAAAGGATTTTGAAAGAAGTTACCATTTTTGTCACTAACATCAGCAGTAATTCTAAGTAAAGGACAATAACCCACATGCTTTGTTTGCCCCATACTTCAAAATACAGTAGCTAATTTAAGTTTAAAAGTGGATTAAAACAAAGCAACACAGCTATAATCAAAAAACTCACACTTGTGTAGAAAGTCTCTCACTGTTGACTTAGCACACTCTTTTTAAAAGAGTGCATGCTGTACTCATTTTTGCCAGCTAACAGAGCAGGCCAGTTGACATCAAACAAATTCTGAATGGATACCCACTGACTAAACATTGAACTTCAGATTTTATCTTTGACACTGAATAGCTTTGGAAAAAAAGTAAGAAAGACTATGCAATGAAACAGAACATTCAGAAAGCCAGAATCAAAGTCAAGCTGTAATTTCAGCTATGACACACACACAAAAAAAATACTGTCCAGAACACAGCTTCGTTTTACAGTACCACCATGCAATGAAGTGCACCTTTGCTGTGAAGACAAGCCTCATAACTGAAGATGACACTGAATACAATTGAGAAAAAAAAAAAAGTAAAGATCTAAAAAGAGTCTTAGTTGCTTCAAGCAGGACCAGTATCAACACTAAACATTACCTGGCAAAACTTTAACTTTTAGATGTTCCAATATAGCAAAGCCTCCATTATTCTTGCCACTATTTTTGATATATTACAACAGTTTTAAAATTTTTATTCTTTTAAAAGAAATGGTTTTGCAATATTGTCTAGAAATATTGTAGTACAAGCCCAAACAACATTAGTTTCATTTTCTAAAAACATGAACAGCTCTGAATTGTGCCACCAACATTAGGCTGAAGGAGCCAAAAAACTCAGGCACGCCAATCGTTCCGCTGGGCAACTGCTACTTGGCGTATGGAGTCTCTGTTGGGCTGCTGATAAAAATCACACGCTGGCTCTTCTCCATAGCAGAGAGCACTGCTGCTTCAAGGCTAGCGTACCCTCAGCTAGGGTATCTGAGCAGGCAGAGCTCAAAAAAGGTGAAAGAGTTTCTTGCATACAGCTTTGGAAATAAATTATGTACTGACGAGGCACTTGAAGCAATGAACTCTGATCATCACATTCCATGCTCTGAATTAATAATTAATAAACTTCAGAGCAACTCTACCTTAAGATTTCATTTTATCCCTGAAGAAATTATAGCACATTTACATGCAACACACCCTTATAAGAAAAAAAAATTGTTAGTTGTGTACACTTAGGTTTGACTTAACCTAAGTTAATTAAGCTAATCTCAAATGCAAGCAGAGATGAAGCTGTGCCATCCGTCTCAGGAACATGCAGCAGCACTCGCGTACGGCGGTTTGGGTTGCGGCAGCCCAACTCTACTGATATGTTTATCAGAAACGGTGGGAAGAAACCTCAGTTCCTTCAGTTTATGATGGAGATTGTGGCCTCAAGGCTGAGGCTGTGTTTCGGAAACATGCTCAGTAACTGACTATGAACAGGCGGATTATCATCACAGAGCAGATTGGGACACCTGATTCAGGACAACCTGAATGTTGGTTGAGGGGCAGGGAAAGGAGAGCATTCCCAAGCACACGATTTATTTGTAACGCTTTTGTACTTCAAGTAAGATTCCAACGAAATATGTTACTGTTTTTCTTGTGATAAAAATGTATTTAATCCTTCTCAAAGATTATCCATCCTACCAGTGCTACAGATAATACCTTCCTGTTAACTGCCCATTGTCTCACAATGAATGCTATGACAAAAACTAAAACCCAAATTAATCACCACATCAGAAAAAGCTATCCTCCCACAGAAACTTCCCGTTTCATAAACACAATAAAAATCTCAGTCTTTAATAAGAAATATTTTCTCTTTGAAACATCAGAGTAATCTTGTCCTCCTACACATTTACAAACTTGCCAGAAGCATCTTTCCAATTAGCTACAAGTGATGTGAATCTTCTATAAAAACACACTAGTGCTGCTTTCACTGGCCAGTCTGCTCAGAGAGAACCTAATTTTCTTTCTAATAAAAAAGGCGAACTACTCTGAACACATGAAATGAAAGGGAAACACATTACAGAACCAAATCAATGACGTAGGAAAGACATGGATCTGTTGGAGTGGGGCCAGAGGAGGGCCACAAAGATGCTGGGAGGGCTGGAGCCCCTCTGCTGGGAGGACAGGCTGGGAGAGTTGGGGGGGTTCAGCCTGGAGAAGAGAAGGCAAAAAAGGGGAGACCTCAGAGCCCCTTCCAGTGCCTAAAGGGGCTCCAGGAGAGCTGGGGGGGACTTTTTACAAGGGCATGGAGGGATAGGGCGAGGGGGAATGGCTTCAAACTGGAAGAGGGGAGATTTAGATGAGATATGAGGAAGAAATTCTTTCCTGTGCGGGCGGTGATCCCCTGGGGCAGGTTGCCCCGAGAAGCTGTGGCTGCCCCATCCCTGGAGGTGTTCAAGGCCAGGTTGGACGGGGCTTGGAGCAACCTGGGCTGGTGGGAGGTGGCCCTGCCCAGGGCAGGGGGGTGGAACTAGATGATCTTCAAGGTCCCTTCCAACCTAAACCATTCTGTGATTCGATGACTTAGACAGCTACATTACTTACGTGTTGTGTAAATGCCGCAAGATAAGCCAAAGCAGCTTGCCAAAGGCCATGGCTCATCCTGTGATAAGGTTCATTTTTTAAAAAAAAAGGATGTGTTAACATTGTAAGAAAAATGCTTCCTTCTCTGCAGTTTTAAATGTATGAAATACATAATTTATGAGACAGGTAGTGAATTAATACAATTTTGCCGCCCAGTTGGTTGACATGGCCATAAAGCAGAGTGACACGAACATAAGCGTGCCCCCAGAGCGTCCCACCACAAGCTGCGGGCAGACCAAGAGCCAGTCTCAGCCACCCCAGCTTATTTTCTGAGGGACTTCAGTGCAGGTTTAGCACTAATCATTTTCTCCCAGTTCTCTCACAGAGCTCTGTAACTATAACGAAAACATCTTTTCTAACTCACGTTTATCTCCTGCCACCATCACTGCCTCCTGCTCTAGCTAATCTACATGCCGCTCACAGCCCACCAAGGCTCAAAGACCTCAACAGTCCCTTCTCCAGAGCTTCTGATGCTCCTCCCTCTGCCGCACCACACATCCAAGATAAAACTGCTGCCTTGCCTTACTGTGTCAGCAATACGCGCTCTCCTGGGAAGAGGGAGGAAGGACAAAGACCCCTCTGCCCCCCCCCGAGAAGCCTCCAGGCTCCATCCAGATACCATCTGAGGGTGCAGGGACTCGCTGCCCCAGGTGAGGGACTGCGGCACAAAGCTGCAGCAGAGAAAAACCCTCACTCCCAGCTGCTAAAGCTTTGCTCTTGCTTTGTAACAGAAGTCACCAACGCCACCTTGGAAACCCAGGAGATGGGATGTACCTAGGCCTGACTCTGCTTCCCACCACTGCAGTTACAGGACTAGATAAAAAACCCCAAACCCCAGCAACATATCAGAGCACAGGTCTCAGCCAACCAAACGCACGCTGCCATTCGTCTGACGCA